TAACGAATTTTGGAAATTGGCTAAAACTTCCAAAACTACAAAAATCCAAGCACACTACTTTTGAACTTCAGTGTTCAATTTCACACTGATTTTTCAGTGGTCTTCTGTCACTGGGCGTGCAACATTTAGGGCCCGTCGATTAAGTTACTATAATTCAATTGCGCTGCAACATTTCCTCTCTTTGACTCCAAATGCAAAGCTTAAAATAGCTGTTTTGACTATTATGTGCTCTTTGCAATTGATAATTTTTGCTATCCGCGCTTTATGATGGATTCAGTAGATGGAACTTTGAATTCACTTCGAATCCGCCTCTTTCATTTTGTTTAAGTACCAGTTAATCTATTTAGTCAACCATACTACCTCGTCGTCGTTAATTTCTGTTTGTAATGCCTTTCATTTGCATTTAATAATTTTAACTTTTTGTTCTTCGCCGTCGCATGTAAAAAATATTCTTATAAAAGCCAGATTAGGTGAGCCAGTGATCTAAGTATACTTCAGTTAAAGCTTTACGGTTGCGGAACCATACTATGAAGTACGACTGAATCAAGCATTCCAAGCAAAATACGCCCGTACCTTTCTGACTTGCTGGATGTAACTGCCAGACCGCCTGTCTCCCGGTAGGAACTCAAGAAGTCTACGATCAAACACATTAGCAATTAATGAAACACGTACCCGCTAAGAAAACATTAGAACATTCATCAACAAATCTTAGCACTAATAATTTTGCTTTAAGAATTTTTTTTAATAGCAAGGAGCTGTGACAAGTCTAAATTCATGCAACTCTATTCATCCCGTCCACGCCACCCCATCCCTTTCCCTCACTCCTTTCCCCTTCCCCTCACCCATATCCTGTCTCCATATCCTGTCACCACTCCATTTCTTTTGAAAGATAAATACAAAGAAATGATTAAACTTCCAAATTTTTTGAAATCCAGGAAATATCTATTTCATTCAGTATTTCACTTTTATTGTAATACTAAAGAAGTGCCTCTGCAATTATGTAAGCAATTTGATGTAACTCGATCTTTAACAAAATGATCATGTTTCAGAATTTTGTTCTTCAATCTAATCTGTAAAAGCAATAAATTACTGGAGTTGCTCAACGAAGTATCCAGGCGCATATTTTGTCGCCTCCCACCCCTTCGCCTGTCAGCTCCTCACTCGCTACACACCGTCATCCTCCACCTACAAATTTGCATAATTCATGAGAAGACACATCGAAATCAGTTAACTAATAACATATGAATGTTGAATTAGGCCAACCCGCAATGCCTTTCTGCCGAGCTGCTACTACCACATCACTTCAAACACAACCAAAATCATCAATCAAAGTGCCTGGCAGTGCCTCATATGCTCGTCGCTACTGATAACTAATCTCAGCCTTAGTTCCAGCCGTCGGCGATGTGCAATTGCTCTCAAACGCAATCTTATCATAAGTGCCCCACTGAATCTTTATCATTCTTCTGTCTCTCGTCCAGCAAATCTTTCACGCTCCTGGTAGCTGTACAACTTACAAAGTGTACTCCTGGAGGAGTCAAAGAAGAGAACTGTGCATTCGAGTTATTTTGACGAATTCCTGTAGTAGGCATTAGAACTGACAGTCGCAGCATTACACTCAAATGATGATTATCGTATTATTCGTGATATATCATCGTTTTTTTGAGGAAATTACTAACTGCCATAATGATTTTACCGTTATTTTACAGCGAATGATCGCGGAGTGGCTGCAGAGGTGCGTGGGAAAGGAATTATCAGGATGAAGTGAAGATCACTCGAAAGAGTTCACATTTCGAGCTCTTCCTTCGTCTACCACTAGCATTTGATATAATGGATATTACTGATTTCAATGTGCTACTCATTTATTTATCGTGTTATCACGTACAGGTTGCTGTCAACACCAGGCGGGGGGACTTACAATGCCCGAGCAGGTATCTTACCCGAAGTTTTACTAAGTTTTCCTATACCACTGCTTAAGCAAATGTTTGACGAAATAATTTTTCTTAAAACAGCTTTTTACATAAATTCCAAGCAAAATTAAGGTGTTCGTGTGCGGCGGATGTGGCGGAGCAGGATTTTTTGGTGATAAGCTGTAAATGGTCATCCCTGTCGGTCAGTGCAGCGGAGCAGCAGCATCCATTCGCTCATTTTCCTGTGAATATTACTAAAACACTGAACATCGACTGCGATTCGACGGCGACAGAAACAGCCGACCACTACGATCAGTTTAGCGAAAATTTATTTACGGGATTTTCTAATCTACAAAATTTACGGATACAGGTACGTGTGCATGTGCTTCAAAATAACAAAACTAATAAAAAAAAATTATTCTAAACTTCGAATTTTTATGGAAAAGTAATTCACATACCGCAATTCCAATCCGCAGCATTGAAACTCGAAATGGAGGAGAGAGGAAAAGCGCAAATTCTATTTTACTTTTTCCGTGAAAATAAATTCCCCTCTTCAAATTACCTATCACTGTAATTGATCTGAGTTCTCCCGAAGAAAAGCGACGGTCGATGACCCAAGTAACCTCAATTATGGATAATGTGTCTAAATTGCTGCCCACACATCTTAATTCCCCTTTATTTATAGCCCACTATTATAGTAATCCATTATTGTCGTAGTCTAAAATTCATTGACTTCCTCTCGCAATGGTTGCTAAAATTTATCATTCAACTGCCCTTTCAAACGTCTAAAAATGTGAGGGGAAAAAAATCTAAAAATCTGCAATTTAACTGCAACTGCAAAAGCAAAAAAAAGTTACTAAAAAAGGGTATTATTTCACGGGCGTTAATAAATGAGTAAAACTGCTAAGTAGGGTGTATCAAAAGACAGCATTTCACTAGCTTTTCATAATTATTTATCAGAATTTTGCTCCCTTCAAAAAATTTTCTCGTCCGATGACTTTTCATCCTCTTCCATTCATTGGTCACTTTGTTCATCACCAATTTTCTCTCGTTAAGCCAATTAAACGGCCTTCGGGAATGCTAAAGATTGTAAATCGGAGATTAATGGACGACTGCAAAAGGGACCATTTATAAATTCTTGTTGAACATGACCGCTCCTTTAACGTACTTCGTCGACTAAAGACTAAAAACTTGCGAATTACTGCTCTCTGTCAACCATCACCATAGGCGGAATTATGCCTCCGGTCAACCGTATATAAAACACACTTGATCCTCACATTCTCTGACTACAACTGAACAGTCCATCAGCAAGTGAAAAAAGTTCTTCAATTTGAAAGTCCAGAATATATATGAAAATTCAAGCCAATCAGTTCCCCTGAGATGGAATTTCAAGCAAACATCAACTAAGTCAACAGTGAATATAAATGCTAGGAAGTATCAGTAATCTAGTTAAACATCTTGTCTCTCGCTTTCAGACGAGCAATTTCCAAAGATTAGATCCGTAAGCAACTATATCGTGTTATCTAATAGGGGATTCCGGTATAGCTTCATCGGTATATGTCTCTGTAACTTTGCAGGCTCCTAACCGCTGGTCCGAAATCTTGCTAGTTTAATTCTCAATTAGCTGCTCTATTTATCAAACATCCATTTTTCTGTTTCAGAGGTGTAAAACACATGCATTGCCGAGGAATTTACTACACGGGCTCAGTAATCTACGTTCCGTGCACTTCTATCAACTCGAAAGGCTGAAACTTCCCGATGATTTCTTTACGGATAACAAAAGACTGGAAAAATTGACAATAGTGGAGTGTAATTTGGAAGCGCTGCCCGATTCACTACTCTGTGATAGCCCCTATATTCAGGTAATAACCCTCTCTTTCATTCTTTTGTATAATTCTTTCAGCCAGAAACTTCTATCACGTAAATTCTCGAGAAATCGGTTTTTTTTTAATACAAGTCGCTTCCCCTCTGATAAGAAGAATTCTGTAGTTTCATGCTTTGGGCAGTAATGCACTGAATCCCTTCATCACTGCTCAACATCATCACCGTCGTTAGCCCCACCGTCTATATCATTATCATCGTAAATACCTTCGGCTAACAGGTCTGCTGTCACTCTGCATTCACAAAAATTTCACGGTTACTACTGACCAGCAACGAGTACAGTGGTCACCTGCTTCCAGTAGCAAACGTGAAGAAGAGAACTATTCGAAATGAACACCAAATATTACTTTAAAAAGGAAAGAAATGAAAGACTGAGAAAGCACCAAAATATGTAGAGCGCTCAAAGGCATTTGCGCAGCGCATATCTCAAAAAACTCAAAAATCCCTGGAAAAATAGTAAAAGAAATATGAAATCAGAGCAAAAATTGGCTGTGCTTAACTTAGTTTCCTTATCATCGAAGTTTGCAGTGTCATCAGCTTTCGCTTCTAAGGTAACCACGTGATTCTCTCTTTATAAAACGCTAAAAATGGGCTCTTTGACTTCTCTTACAAGGCCAATTTCCACGGCCAATTTTAAAATGAATACGAAAAAAGTAAGAACTTTTCTGCAGGTGATCAATGTGTCACGAAACTGGTTACAAAGTGCTCGGCCCGGCTCGCTGTCGCGATGTAGCGCTGCTGCAGCGGAGCAGCTAATAATTTACGATCTGAGTGACAATCGTATCAGAACTATTGCCAGCGACGATTTGAAGCAGCTTGTCGCAGTGCGACAACTTTTAATCGCAAATAATCAGATTGAAAATATCAATCGTCAGGCACTTAGCGCCTGCGCACTGTTGCAGTACTTGCATCTTGGTAATAACAGTATCGAGGAAATACCCGCACTGCCAGGTCTGAATTCACTAACTCTTATTTGCTTTCCCAGTAAGCCTCTAAACTCAGAGACGGTGCCAGTAATTTAGCAGAGATGTTAAGTGATTGAGATGCCAAAAGAGATAATTAACTGGCTAAGATGAGACATTTAATTGAGATGGTAACTGGCTTGTTCAGGCTTAACTTAGATTCAGGATCGCTCAACTTTTTTTTCTTTCCAATTAAATCCCATCTAGAGTTTCGGTTTTAACTTCCGAATTTAACCTTTTTGATTAAACAAACGTTCATCCCATCTCACCCCTCACTGACACTTCCTAAGCGCTAAAAAAAACCATTTCTATCACAGGATATACCACACTACCGAATTTCATAGCCTGTGGATTCAGTAATCGTGAATGCGACAAAAAAGCGAAAAACATAACTAAATGAAGATCGAATTTGGGAAAAGAAGCAATGAAAGAAGTAGAAAAAGCACCTGGCTCGCGTCGGTTCCGTACACCTGTTTTATTCTTGTTTGATTAAGCTTAGCGGTAATAATAATCGCAAGCGTAAGCGGATTTCTGAAATCCCAGTTTTGTCCCGAGATTAGCCAGGGGTCGGGTTTCGATGTTTACATTCTTTGAATCTAGTACAAGTTAAGCAAGAAGTATTTTCCCACATTTCAGTTCCTTGCACTGCTTACCGAATGCAGTAAAATAAAAGAGGAATTTTTCAGAAACATTAATTTCTGTGAATGCTGCTACGAATCGTTTGAGTATTATTCCACAGGCGATTGCTAATCTGCCGAATTTGCTATCTCTGAATCTGAGCGGCAATGCTATCGACGCAAACACTCCTTTCCCTGTCATTAGCCCTGCGCTGCAAACTGCTGATCTCAGCCACAATCGACTGGAATTTATTCCGGAAAATCTGTTTTCAAGCAGTTCACAGCAACTGCGACATTTATTGCTCAGCTATAATAGGATTACACAGTTGGAGCCGGCATTTTTTCAGAACTATTCACAGCTGCTGACGGTACGTTACACTGCTGCATTCTTTGCATCTCTGGCAATCGTGACAAAAAATCAAATTTTACTGATTATTTTTTGATAGTACACTCAAGAAAATGAATCAGTGAATTTATCCATGAACTGATTTCTGAGCTGATTTCTAGTGATTTCTGTTTTCTAATGGAATTTTTTTTATCTTTTATATACATTACTAACAAAAATATTAGTGATGAAATATATAGAATATACTAAAAAATAACAGGATGAAAAACGGTCCGTTAAGTGTAACTTTTGTTAATATATCCGTAATGTCTATCCTCTTTCCCCAAACACCCAACACATCCCCGCTTCATCTTTTGGTGTTACACAAAAACGTACAGTTTAAGAGTACTTCTTGAAAAAACTACTGATTTCAGTTTTTTAAAAAGGCCACTAACTGCACATAAGGGGTGAGATTGAAAGGCCTAGTATGGATGCTTCAAGTGCGTAGAAGCATCTCAGTAACACCATAAATGCGGGATGCCCACAGTGATTGTCCGGCGGTCTTGATATTCTTAATATGCAAAAAATATGACTTTGGGTACGACCTTTCCCAATTTCATGCTTTTTTCGAAGCTCGAAGTAACATTAGCCTGCCTCTCCATGCCCTTTTCATTACATTCTGATAATAAACATGTCGTGTCTGATTTTCTTTTCTACCTGATCTAAAAACGAATTCTCTTCTGTGCAGTCCTTCACATTCTAAAATTCCTGGTAAACTTTTCACCAAAAATGCTTTTAATCTTTATCTGGAGCAAAAATTCAGGTCTCTGCGCTGTGTTCAGCAAGTAATTCAAGGGACATGTACAGGACCTTTTTCTGGATCGGTTGTCTAATCAAAAATACAAGAAACAAAAAAATTTCTCGCTAAAAATAATAGTTTTTCTTAAAATAATCTTTCATTTTCCAAAAAAGAAACAAAATGTAAAGTTGGCCAATTAAATTCGTTTGACCTTTTTATTTGAAATCGCTGAAAAATCCAGTTTTCCCTCTTCTGCTCTTCGCATCACTCACTGTCAAAAGCTCAGGCGCAATTAATCAATTTACGAATCTAAACAACTAAATTTCTTTCTCGCTTTCTCCTCCTTTTCCCTCAAATTTATCCCTCTGCATCCTTTAAAGATTTAATCAGTAGCGGAGAAACGTAGAATTCATCAAAATTGTTTCTGATTTTAAGTGAGTAAAAAGCAAGTCTTGAAATCGATCAAAAACTCCTTCCATTCTCGAAAACTCTATCTTTCAAAAAACAGAAAGAAGATATTTGTTTCAGTTTTCAATTCAACAGAAGTTAAAAACAAGCCATTTTTGTCAGTCTAAGTAATTTTTGCTCAACTAAAGACAATGCAGCTCAAATTTCAGTTGCATAATTTTCTGCTGTCGATCTGAAAAAAACCTCTCGTAATTTACCACATTGCTCTCATTTTAAGCAAGCATAGAAGATTTTAATGCATTTTTTTCGAACGGCACATGTCGAGGAATTGTTTTTTCAGCCTTACAATGTCTGATAAAACTTTAGACTGTCCGCTTTTTCATCTCCCCTCCCTCTTCCACCTCCCTTTTCTTCCTTTTCAGTGAAAACTCTATCAGAAACAGGTTATTTCCCTTTCTGAGCAAATATACACACTGCACTCAAGCATTCTTGGGCATTAAACCTCATACACACTCAGAGAGAAATCATTTTTTTTTTTTGCTTTATTTGGACAAAAAGACGACGAACAGTGAAGGAGCCAGTGAAAAGAAAACAAGAATTGCCATCGATTTTGTACGGAACCTAGATGAAAAATGTCAATAATTTTTTTTTTTTTTTTTTTTTGAATATCGATAGAAAAATTTCAGAAATAAGATCAAATTACGGTACAAAGCAGATAAAATTTATCCTCTTCCTTCTCGGATTTCAATCCTAGCCTCAGTTCTAAACACGTACACGCATATTTTTGATTCCTGAATAATTTCATTGAAATTTGTAACTCGAGAGGGAAATTTAGCGCTATTAACCCTTGTATTAGCACCACAGCAATACTGTTTGAGGCTATCCGTACTTTTTATGCGTTTTTGCCGTGCAGCGCTAGAGCGCTGCAACAGGCAGCAAAAACGCATATTG